TTTAATTTCTATGGATAAATACAATCATGGAGAGAAAACAAGGTTTTTACCTTATACGGGAAAATCTACTTTTGGAATTGAATACTTTTACACAAAAGCTCAAATCTGGTGGAATGTCCCTTGTCTCCGTTTTGGTACTTTCTTTTTCTTCATTGGGAAACAAGGATGCAGGATAACTTGACTTGCTAATATTTTTGTTGTTTATTTATTTTTATTGAGGTAAAACATACATACATAGTTTACCACCTGTGCCTTCTTGTTTTTTAAGAGAAAGTCTTACTCTGTCACACAGGTAGGAGTGCAGTGGCATGATCACAGCCTACTTTAGAGTCAAACAATCCTGCCACCTCCCAAGTAGCTAGGACTACAGACGTGAACCACCATGCCTGGCTAGTTTTAAATTTTTTTGTAGAGATGGGGGTCTTACTATGTTTCCCAGGCTGGTCTTAAACTCCGGGCCTCAAGGGATCCTCCCACCTTGGCCTCTCAAAGCGCTTGAATTACAGGCATAAGCCACCATGTGCAGCCCATCTTTACCATTTTTAAATGTACAGTTCAGGGGTAATAAATATCTTTATAGATACTTTTCCCTTCATCCCCCTGCCTCCCCTTCCTAGTCTAGGGTAACCAACAATCTACTCTCTGTCTTCATAAGATCCACTTTTTTAGCTCTCTAATATGAATGAGAACATGCAATATTTGTCTTTCTGTGCTTGGCTTCTGTCACTCAACATAAGGGCCTCCAGTTCCATCAATGTTTCTGCAAATGACAGAAATTCATTCTTTTTTATGGCCAAATAATATTCCATTATGTATATATACCACACTTTATCTATCCATCCCTTGATGGGCACTTGGGTTGATTCCATAACTTGGATATTGTGAGTAGTGCTGCAATAAACACAGGAGTGCAGATATCTTTCATGTATTGATTTCCTTTCTTTTGGATATATACCTGGTAATGGAATTGCTGGATTACATGGAAGTTTGATCTGTGGGTTTTTGAGGACCATTCCATACTTTTCTTCATAGTGGCTGTACTAATTTTTGCTAATATTTATAAGTATTAGAGAACTCATATGCTTTCCAGACACCACTAAAATATTCTTGTCCATAGATAAAAACTCATAATAGCTAACTAATAATAATGTTTCTAGTATGGGTTCATGGTTTAGCAATTTAATAACCTAGTAACTTAATACAAGCAGGTATAAGGAAAATTGAGTTGTGAGTGGTCCCATTCTCTTTAGTGACTGCGCTGTCATGATGGGAAATAACTGCATTGCTCAATATAACACAATAGGTCAAAGTGAGCTATGGACACATTTGATGTTCTCTTGTTTCTAACATCAAGCAGGATTTTGAATAAATTTTTAATGATAAATACATAACATCTTTATTTTTTGAAATTATAGTAACAATATAATATCCCAAGGGTTGAGAAAGAACATCAGTGTTATGTGACCTAAACATTTTCAGGCATTCCTCCTAGTTCACATAAAGTCTAATGAATCTTATTCTCTACAACCATTGTCTCAGTGCTACTTAATGATAAAATAACAGGCTTGCCAGTTTTTAGAAATTAGTCCAGAGAAAATACATATATTTATATATATATACACACACACATAAATATATAAAATATATACACATATATAAATAAATACACATATATATACACACACATATATACATATACATATTAGGGTG